CTCCCAGGCATCTAGAAGTCATCTACCTAGACAGAAATAGTCTCAACAGATGACCATTTGTGTTAAGGTCCATGAAGAGATGTGGGGTGGGAATGCTGCAGGCTGCCTAGCTTATTAGGTTAACTGGATAGATCTTGGAATCAAAGGATGTGTCCTGTTTCTTTTGACAATGTATTCCATGAATAGCGAGGCCTAAAAAAGTAAGTTGCACAGGGTGACTGTATACACTAGAGAGGCCTGACCATTGCTCTGTATATGCTGCAAAGGTCTGGCCATGTCAATGTATACACTACAGATGCCTGTATATACCACACTGTATACACTGTAATGTACATTATACATTTCTAACCAAAGTCTTCATTGACTGAACAACAGCTTGTTGTTCAGTCAATGAAGCTGGGCTATTTTACTGAACTTCTTTTTTAAGGTAGGTTCAGAGAAAGTTTTAGCTCTCTGTCCATATTCCGTTTGTAGAAAAGCCTGCATAATGTAAGAGTTTAATTTATCTCTTACATTATTATAGTAGTTAAAGAAGAAGAAAAGGCAAGATTAAAAAAAAAATCTGCCAATGCTTTTACATTTGTTTATATTTATTAATACAAATTGGCATTCAAATAAGTTTTTTTAAATGCTATTAATTGCAGTCACGTGGTCTCTACCAATTGTTTCTTGTTCTATATGAGCAGCAGGTGAAGGGTAGTAGTAAAGTTGTCTGGGAACTGAAAATTGAATCAGTTACCCTATAAGGAAGGTTAGAAGCCATTATGGATCTCACCCGGGAAGCTTGCAAGTGTTAGGGCTGGAAAGTCAAGAAGTAACTGTTTTAAGTGCTAGCCTAGGAGCAAGTAGGAACATTTCTATGACATGCGTGGAACTGCCATAAGAGAAATTATCTTGAGCACTGCTACTGTTGCTAAAAGCTACAGTAATGCCCTGTTTCCTGATGGCAGATGTGGTAGAAAGCAATGGTGTATTTGCCCCTGGAAGAGATATGATCTCTTTGTACACACCATTTTCACCCTCTGATTCACTTGGAATAAACATATAAGTCACTAAGAGAATTTATGCTTTTACATAATTGCTACATTCAGTTCAAATATTATTTTGTTAGGCAAAAAAGGCTTTTTGCTACTGCATACTAAGAAGCCTTTAAATAAAATGTCTTATGCAATAGAGGCACAGAAGGATGGCAAATTCACCATGCAGTTTAGCAATTTTCAGGCAGATCAATCAGTGGACTTATATCTGTTGGTCACACTCAACCTAGCCAGTGGCTGTTAGGAGAGCATGTCTTGATAACTAAGATTCCCTAATGGAAAAGAAAAAGGTGGTTTCCTCCTCCCTTCTTTCCATAATTTTGGAAGATTAGCAAAGCCTGTGATGGTCTGCATATATTCTACCTTGAGGTTTCCTGAATTTGGCCTGCATGTCCAATCACCTTCCAAAGTTTATTAGCAGATTTACTGGTGTTTACTAAGTTTTTACTGCCAGTAAAATTTGTTACTATTTCATAGATTATTATTGTTTTAAAACCTAATATCCTGGTTTGGTGCTAATCTGGAAGTGGATGGATACGTTTTTTGAAAGCAACACAACTAGATATTATGAAAGGTTTTTTTTTCTTACAAGCGGTATTCTAAATAAGAATGTTCCTCACCATACAACCATGTTAGTTATCACAATACATCTTATAATAAGTTTCCTAATATTTCGCTAAAACATTTAAAAATGTGAAATATGAGAAAACCACACTTTAACATCAAATCCGCATATTGTGGTCCCCACTCTAGTCTCAGTATGAAAGCAATTTTGCTATGTAAAGCAATTTATGAGTAGCATTCTTCTAGCATGCAATGTTAGAAATGTTTTAAAGTGTTTGTGAAGGTCCAAATCTTTTCCTATTAAATAGCAAACATGTCATACTTACCTGCTCTGTGCAATGGTTTTGCACAGAACAGCCATGATCCTCCGCTTCTTGGGTCCCCTGCTCCTGGCTCCTCCTCCTGCTGAATGCCCCCAGAGCAAGCTGCTTGTTCTGGGGGCACTCATGTGTGCTTGCTGCCGAGCCTCCTTTGTGTATGTATGAGACACACAGAGCGTGGCTCAGCCACACCCCCAGCTGTCTCCTCACTGACTGTGATTGACAGCAGCTGGAGCCAATGGCTTCTGTTGCTGTGTCTCAGCCATTGAGGAGGGAGAGACCCGGGAGAGCTTTTGCTTTTGTGCATATCACTGGATTGAGCTCAGGCTCAGGTGAGTACAGGGGAAGGGGGGAGGCTGAGGGGGCAGTTGCACACTAAAGGTTTATCTATGCATGTCTACAATGCATAAAGGTAAAAAACCTTCAGCATTTAAAACCATTTTAGCTATAGTTTTACTTTGGTGTTTTTGATTTTATTCATCTTCACAAAAAACACCATTACAAAAAATAAGGATAAGACAATCAAATTTCAGCACAAAAGTATCAAATGAAGCATGTACTGTAGCTGCAGAAGTTGAGTAAGATGGATTTAGAATGCTTAGGTCCATGCGCCCTTTGAGGGTACTGAATAAGACTATACATTTCAAATCAGCACGTCCCTATAGCAGATACCTGATAGTCAAACAGGCCATCACAGAATTCTGAAACTCCATGGTTTCTTCTCTTTCTTTCTCCTTCTCTCTTCTTACTGCGAATTGCATGTGAGTGATGGTGTAATAATGGTAAGATTGATGCTACTTGGCCATACTGGTTCTGCTTACAGATTGTTGCAACAAACAATTGACGTCAGTGCTCCAGCATCGTTATGGGGGTTATTTACTAAAACTAGAGAGTGCAAAAACCAATCGGCTTCCAGGTTTTATTACCAAAGCTGAACAAGCTGAAGTTAGAAACTGTTTGGTTACCATGCACAGCTGCATCAGATTCTGAGTGCACTAGCTTTAGTAATCTACCCTAGTCTGTCATGTGCATACAATGCTACATTCAAAAGTCCCAGTCCTCACAGGAAGTGAGGGAATAATTTTCTAATAGGAGTAAAACCTCACTCTTCATAACAAATAAAAAAATTACTAGAGTAAGTGACCTAACTTTGTTTATGGAAGTACTCCTTTTCATACTAAACTCTAACAAATCCCCCCCCCCAAAAAAAAAAATCACACCCTGTAAGGCAGGGCTCAAAATGTCAAGTCCTGAGCTACTAGCCAGGCCTTAAGAGTTGCTCGCCACCCGATGCCCCACCCAACCCCTACCCTGTCCCACCCCTAATTCTGCCCCTAAACATGCCCTCGTAAATTATCTCATGAAATGACACTGTTAAATGTTACCCACATGTACACACACATGTACATACACACAAACATATACACACACAGACACATGTACATACACACACACAGACACATACACACACACACACAGACACAACACACACACACACAGATACACACACAGATACTCACACACACACAGATACTCACACACACACAGATACACACACACAGATACATACGCTCACACAGATACTCGCACACTCACACATGTTTCCAGTTCTTGTTACCAAAACCATTTATCAAGGCCAGGATGAAGAGCAAACACAAAGTCAGAGATCAAAGCAGGACCAATGCTGGCGAAATCAACAACAAATGCCAATCCAAAAACACCAAAGAATCCCATTCATTACTGAGCAAGACATGCTTTACAATAGGGACTAGTCCTTAAAAGGGAGCTCAGACTATCAGCACTCACATTAATGCCTATGACACTGTAAGGTGGCCCCAGATGGATTAAAATTCATCCAGATTAGTTTGAACTGACTAAATTTTGAACCATGTGTGGCCACTGCAGTTGAACAGAAGTCATCTACTGATCAACTTCTGTTCATCCACCCCAGGGGTCTGCAAACTATGGCCCTCCAGGTGTTGAGGAACTAAAAGGCCCATGAAGCTTTGCAAAATTCTGACAGCCACAGGCAAGACTCCCAGAGGCAGAGGAATGATGGGACTTGTAGTTCTTCAACAGCTGGAGGGCCATAGTTTGAAGACCCCTGATCCACCCTGTTGAATAAAAGCCACTCAGTCAGCGGCTGCAGCCTATAGTTTACAGCACCAATCCATGTATTCTGACAGCAGGGGAGTACAATTGCACAGTCAGGAGAATTCTCCCATTCACCTCAAATGTGTGGATGGGGTATCAAGTAAGTTGTTTTCATTCAGCCTGCTGTCTGAACATAAAACTGAACCATGTATGGTCAGCTTAAGGGTCTAAAGCTCTGGTGCGCAACCAGCACTCTGTGCGGCCCATGGAGTCTTGGGCTGTGCAGACCTTCTGAAGCACTGGCAGAACTTGTCATGTTGGGTACAAGGGAGAGAAATATAAACAAACCACATCAACTTCAATTTAATTTCCTTTTCAGGAGATCCAGACAATTCTTCTTCTGCCCTGCTGTTTAACAGTTAGGTTGTAGAGGCTCAGTGCCTGTTTGCAGCCAGCCAAAGAAGCTGTGAATTTACATGGTTGTTTTTCTTCTTTTACATTAAATATTGGATACACCTGTGTAAATTATGCATTTCACATTTTAAAAAAAATAAAAGATATTTTTCTATAAATTAGTGTTGCTGTTATTACACATCTGTTCTTCTTGCCAAATTCTCTCAAACAAAAGGTAGGTTGAGTTGTGGACTCAATACCAGAGATCTCACCATTGATATTTCAAAAGTTAAAAAGAAACAAAGTGTTGTTCAGTTCATCTAAAAAATTCAGAAAAGGGGGTGTTAGTAACTATAAGAGGAAGACAATATTTTCAAAATAACTATAGCAACCTATACATCTAAATAATAATAAATTATTGAAGGCCATCCAAAAAGAAATGGAACAAAATGGAGTTGATTTATGGAATACAAATAATGAAGAAAAATATCCAGAAACTCACTGCAAACGTACTTTCATCCGTATTACATACAAAAAAATAAAATGAAATAAAATGTAGAACTGCTCCAGTATATGCTGTGTATAGAGATATCTACAGCAGGGGTGGACTGACAACTCATGAGGCCCCTGGGCAATAGGGGATCATGGGGCCCCTGTGTCCTTGCCCAAACTCAAAAAAGCCTATGAAAAAGGTACCAGGGGCATCTCATGGGGCCCCCTACTGACCTTGGGCCCTCGGGCAGTGCCCGAGTTTCCAAATGGTCAGTCTGCCCCTGATCTACAGTATGTAAAAAAACTTCTAGTCATATGAAGAGTCAGTATTAGCGATAACATCTATACTACACCATGTCACAAATATTGACTATGGCTTAACTAGAATGAAGATAATCCACCAATAATTTGCCCATATGTAATGCAACAATAACTCAGCTGAATTAACCAAGATTAGTCTACTCGATTGTTGGCCTTTTTCTGTGCTTTGGTAAGCCCTCATTAACCTGGACGTCTTGTGTTTGTTTTATGTAAATGCAGGAAAAATTGATCTGGGAAGTATACACAAACTTTATTCTTCTCAGATCAATTTCTTTGCATTTAAATGTACATTTGCATACATTTAGATGCTTTCAGCATATCCAATCTGCCCCCCTGGTTGTGCAGATTCCTATTTGTTCTAAGCACCTCTAAATGGAATGCACAGTACACATTACACTATTTAAAAACATTACACATATTATATGGGTTTGCAAATGTCCTATAAATGCATTTAATGGCATGCCCCTGTGAGGGAGGCCTGAGTTAGTCTCCATCAGAGATAGAAAAAGAAATTTGTGTAATAAGGATAACCAGTGAAAGTAATATAATATATTTTTTTTAAAGTATAAGAAAAATAACACTTTTTTTTATTTGGATAGATTGGATAGAAACACTATCATGTTTATTATTGCTATATCCTAGTTAGGGAGATTCACTCTCAATGTCTCATCAGTGTCAAGGTGATTAAAAGTATTGGTAAAACCAAAAACGTGTTTTGCCACAAGAACAAGAATAGAAGGAAAATATTCCAATTGGATTACTTGCTCCCTTGACAACAGTCTAGGAGGATTTTTTTCCCCTCACGTTAAAAAGATATCCCAATGCAAAAAGCTTTGGCTTTAGAGATACTTAACTAAGCATACATCATACCAAGACAACCTCATAATAATTTATAAAAACATGCAAATAGGTGTTTTTATGGTGTAGTAATAACAAAAAAAGTAAAAACAAGTGGAACTTACAAACTAACCTATTTGCCCATAAACGTGGCATGTAATTAACAAGATTATGACCCAAGAAATTACTGCTTGGACCACCACGATGATAAATGGTTAAACTTGTTTTTCCTTATTAAAGAGATACAGTCTCTCAACAGATTTCCTGTTTTATACAGTCTAAAATATCCGATTTCAATTGCTTTGCAAACGTAGCGTGACAAAGACAAAGGGCTGACAAATGACTGGTATAAACTCATGGCTAAATTGAATTGGCATATCTCATAACACTCTTTTAATGGCATGAGCAATCTGAAATATAAATAAATGTCCTTGTTTGAAGAAATTCAATATCCGCCTCTTTCTGTGTACATATAGGGCAATTAAACATGCCTAATTTAATCTCTGCTTTTCCAGTCTGAGCCTAAACTGAATACCAAAATTGTGGCTTAAAAGCATTTAGCACTCCCCTTTTGCTATGTTTGTAAGCGGTCTTTGAAAGTAAGCAGAGGCTGAGGAGAGACTGTCTCTAGACTGCAACACATTCTGCCTCATGTAGCATGCAGTAGCTGTCATTAATTCATTTTATGGAAGGAAACCAATCTTCAAACATGCTTCTGTGAATGCAGCTGTATAGGGTTTTAACACTTGTTTTATTATATCTTTCCTTCTAGGAGCTCTTTGTTGTATCACTTTTATGAACTTATCATTATGATTAAATGCAGTTTTCAAACGTATTTAAAGTAGCCCATTATTTTTTTCTATGGCTCCCAGCTGACTAGGTTAAAATGATGGCATTACCATAAAGTGATCTTCATTTAAAAGTCCATTAAATTCACTCCTGTATTAGCTAAGCATATATTATGTATTGTCTGCAGAAATATTCTCTAATATTTTTAAATTGGAAGAACTCCTTGAAATAATTTTCAGGTCTTAGGTAACCCTAACTTATAATTGTATCTATAGCTCTGGACAGTTGCATGAACAGTAAGTTCAGATATAAGAATAAAGAAAAGAATAAGGAATGTGGCTTACTTTGATACCCAGGGCTGCTCTATAAAAATATTTTCAGTACTCATGAATATAAACAAATAATATTAATAGGCAGAAAATAAATGCAGACAGTGAAAATTGTAGTGCTCCCTTACACTGGTGGTCAGAAGAAAAGTGTTACATTTACATCAGTGAAGTTCCCATTTACAGAAGTTGTAAATGTAGTGACCCTTTACACAGGTGGAGAGTAAAATGCTCCATTATATTGTTGGTCAGTGAAGTTCCCATCTACAGAAGTGTTTAATGTAGTGCCCCTTACATTTGTGGTGAGTAAAGTGCTATTACATTGTTGGTCAGTGAAGTTCTCTTTTACTGAAGTGGTCAATGTAGTGCCCCCTGCATTGGTGGTGCGTAAATGCTCCATTACATTGTTGGTTAGTGAAGTTCCCATTTACAGAAGTGGTCAATGTAGTGTCCCTTTGCACAGGTGGTGCGTAAAGTGCTCCATTACATTGGTGGTCAGTAGAGAAGGGCCCTCTTAGGTTGGTGACAAATGAAAAAAGGACACTAATAAACTAAGGCCTACATAGTGCAAGAAAGTTCTTCTTGGAGAGTAATTTTTGCTCCAGTTTGGACAGCTCTTAGTTTATGTCCATGTATGATGACCAACAATCTCATTTTCCTCATGGAAACACTTTAAGGGCCTGTTCACACCAAAACACATGTGCACAAGATGTGCTTTCGAGTGCAATCCAATTTGGGAGCTCGAGGGGTTAAATAAAACCTAGGTTGTATATGTATAGGGTAGGGTAAGTGAGCGCAAACAGACAGGGCAAGCAGCTAACATACAGGGTAATCCTCAGTACCTAAAACGTAAAATATAGAATGGGGTATGTAAAGTAAATTACCAACAAAGAAAGTGTCATCATATATAGTAACAGAAATATCCAACATATATTTTTCATAAAATGTATCCGGAGGGCAGATGGATAAGATCCTATGGTGTCCCAAATCCAACTTGACAGAACGGAAAAGGTATATAGTGCGGTTATGCGCTTACCACAGATACATACAATACGGGCATTGTATGTAAATCATCAGCAACAGGACATCACGGTCTGGTCAGCAGTATGAGCAGCATCTGGTCACGTTAGGACATCAAGGCCAGTGGGTCCAACGTTGTCCAGGTATCCAGTGGCTCCTTATTCCAGATCACCACCTTACAAAGCTCATTATAAACGAGCCAGGAGGCAAGAAGGTATCAATGGTGAAGTACGTTTATTCAGAATAAAAAAAAAAACACACAAAAGGAAGGAACTCACATCAGCATAAAAAGGTACATCCAGGTGTCATTCATAGGTTCCCTGGTGGCTAGTGGTTCCACCAACATAAAAGACTTTCATCCAGGTTTAATTAAAAGTCCCTGGTGGCTAGTGGTTCCATCAACAGAAAGGAATCATATAGGTATATATTCAAATGATCCCAGGGTAAAAATGACCACCCAGATCCAGTAAAAGAATTCCCTGGTGGTTAGTGGTTCCCTGGTGGTATAGGCGTCAGTAGGGTGGATCCCCTAACATGTTTCGAGCAAACCGCTCGTTTTCAAAACCTAGGTTGATTTTTAAGAAATTTGTGTATGTCCTCCTTACAATCATACAGAATAGTGTGTTAAGTGCTTATGTACACTTGCAACTAGAGAAACTGTTAAGTAGATGTATTATAAATCTCTGTAGGACTGTGAGACGCACCATCTACTCAGTAAGATTTCTCCGTTGACCTGGGATAGGTGAAAGCATGGTGGCAATCTGAAAGAGTCAGAATAGGGGTGTATCTGTTCAGGTAATTTTAAGCCTTGAAGTGCTTGTGCAGTTGAGAAGAATTTTGTTGGAGCTCTACGTGAGTTCAGTACAGCTTCACCCTGCACAGAGTAATCACTGGGAAAGAAACACATAGGCCTGCTCCCATAATATTGCTTCTTTGCTTTGCAGTGATGATGGGTAACTCCCAAGGTAAGAGGAAGTACCTAGACCCTCCTAAGCCACCACATAAAGTATTAAGAGAAAGAAAGTTGTTAAAGAAATTAACAAAGGAAGATGAATCAACTCTAGAAAAATCCCAACTACCAGCTAATGAGACATGCAAAGAATATGTTGCCCGAGTGTCACCTTGGGATTATTATGTTGTCCCATGGGTGGACAGCCTGGTGGGGTGGAGTTCAATCATGGGTAGTGCCAGTCCTTTTCCCAGAGATGGGGACGGTAATGATTTTCACATGGATATGATAAAGGGGCTATGTTTAGAGGACAAAACTGCCTTTCACTATTTTGGTACAGATCCTGAGTGGGATATGAAATATATGAATTGAATTGGTTGAAGTATGCCCCAGGATATAAGCGCTTCACACCAATCCCTTCTGTCCCAGTAGATAAACAGAGTAATAACCCTTTTTGTGGCACTTTTTTGACGCCTGTCACTGTGGTTCCTGATTTTCTTCAGCTGTATCCTCAGTTCCATGAGGATGAGGATTATTTGTTGTCACATAATCGGAGGAGACATGCATTACACTCTGCCCCAGCCCAAGAGCTGCCTCCGTCTCCCACCAATGAAAGAGGCCATTTGTCAGTGATTGGTGGTGATGGGGAAGATTCTTCGGGAGAAGAGTCAGGTTGAAGTCTATCAATGCGAGAAATAAAGAGTGGAAAGAAACAAAAGTTAGCTAACTATTAACCCTTGCACAACCTCCCTTTTGTCACAAAGTGACAACTGCTGTATTCACCCTTTATACCTTTCAGTATGTATTTACTGAACGTGTCATTGTCACCAAATTGGGAATACACTGTATACAACAGCACACTCCAATTAGGCCATAACAAGCTATTATAAAACCACCCAATATTTGCCTCAAACTTCCTAGGCCTGGTATCCATGCAAATACCCAGTCCCACCAATTACCAGTAACATCCTGTTTAATTCCTGAGGTCAACTCATGTAAAGCCTTTATATGTGATTGTATAGAGGTGGCATGATCACTTAAATTAAAA